TGGGTCACTTTTTAGTTTCCCCTGGTCTCCCAGCTGTGTGCGTCACTCTTTACTGTCCCCTGGTCTCCCAGCTGTGTGGGTCACTTTTTAGTTTCCCCTGGTCTCAAGCTGTGTGCGTCACTTTTTAGTGTCTCCTGGGGTGTTTCTCAATGTCGAGGACGCTTCCTTGGTAAGACATGTCTTCCGAGTCACTTCCTTCAGAAGCGAGGCAAGAATCCTTTCTAGCCTCGGAAAATGAAGAATGGTAGAACAGGCTAACAGGTGTGCGTCATATGCGAGGCCCCGCCTTAAATGGATCGCGATTTCCGCCAAAAATGTGGAAATTGGTCCGTGCGCAAAGCATTGTGGGGATTTTAAGACCGCGGAGTCTACACATGTGCAGCCTCGAAATTTCTCGCTACGAAGGACGCCGGGCTCGGTAGAATTCCAAGGAGCCTGAACATTGGAACAGTCCTTCGGCGGGACTCGATGACGTAGCATCCTTGAAATAGTGGCTCTGGAGCATCCTTCCTTGACATTGAGAAACACCCCTGGTGATCTCCCAGTTGTGTGCGTCACTTTTTAGTGTCCCCTGGTCTCAGTGCTGTTTTGAGCTTCTTGCATAATTTCATATTTGCACGGTTCGTTCGCTTTTATTTAATGTTGCATGTTTCGTCAAGTTGGTGATGATGTTTTTTCATTTGCATGTGTTTTGGCACATTTGTGTTTTTATACTTGTACTTTCATTTTCAGCAAGTGCAGCACGTTTCTCCTCATGTAAGTGATTCAGCACATTTGCAAGGGTCAGCCACCATACGTATGTGTTTTTCTGCAGCTTCTAAAATGTCATTGCATTGTTCAGATGGAGCGTTATATTAAATGTATAGATGGCCTTGAGATGCACTTTACAGTATTATAGTAGACGCAGTATTGATTTGACCTTAGGTTGTTTTCATTTGCGAGTATCGGTCCTGCAGGCGTGATGTACAAACTCTTTACTCATCTCTGAATACAAATGAGTCTTCTTTTATCTCTCCAAATAATCAGCCATGTCTGTTCAAATGAAAGCAGTCACTGATGCCCTTGATATACTTTTCAAAGAGGAAATTTGCACAATGAACATAGGTGACAATGCTATTCCTTTCCAGAGCCGAGAAGGACATTTAATCCGCGGTTCTTATGAAAACAAAATCAGTTTCAGACTTTTTAGAGACGTTTCAAAGAGGAGTCTAGCAGATTGAGGGCCAATCTGTCCAAGGTTGTTCTCAGAAGAAAGGAGAGCTTTTATCTACCTCCGAGATAACCTTTGCAATCAGTCGTAATCGGGGAACAGTGGGATAAACACCACTTGCTCTGATGGACAATCACCAATTAATCACCGTGGCTGTGCTCTGCTGCTGCTGATTACTGCATCACTGGGAAGTGTACTGCCGTCTAAACCGAGGACTGAGACGTACAAATGAATTACCTGCTGCTCTCCGGAGAAGATATGCCAAGGACACTCTGTACCGGAGAAATCACACTGATCCACAATGTGTCTGCAGGCTGCTAAAAAATAAATGTCTGTCAAGGCAAATCATTTTTGAGTACGTTCAACCTAATACTTATGGTGAGTAATTGTTCTGGAAATACCAAAGTTGTTCACTTAGATACTGCTAGTGGTATTTATAAATATGTCTTCTTCCCCATGACAACTGAGGGAACTATTTTGCTGATCAAGGCCACAAGATGTTCTGGAAGAAAAATGTGCAAATGGATCCTGAGTTAAAAAGACGCATGGAAATATTTTATAACCCATTTAAAAAGATGTGTACTTGTGTGTAATCTCACAAAGAGAAGAGACCATTTATGCCAGATTTAACTATTCGCTCATTCCCATTTGATTAGGGGCATCACCATGGTTTTAAACCTATGTTATCAATTATTTGCCCATCCAAATGTATTAAAAGTACATTTCGGGAGCAGGGAAATCTAAAAATGTTTGAGGGGCATGACTCGAACCCCCCTAGCAGACTGATTTTTTACCTCACTATAAATAATTCATGCAATGTGAAATATTGGAGAGGCAAGGCAATATGGGCTCAGAACAGTCTCATAATACACACATGCACACAGAAGGATTCACACTTGTGTTTTTCAATGCACACACAAATGTGTTCCGTTTCATATACATGTAAATAAAATCCAAATACAGAAAAAAGTTTTAAATGTGTATTTTTGAAAAAAAACGCAACATAATAGTTGCCAGCTCAAACACCAATTCGATATAACATTAAAAGAAGGTTAAAAACCAGGCTTTCTTTGACAGAGTAATAGATCCTCCTGGCTCCATCCAGGAGGGGAAACGCTCATACTCAGCTCTATGGATTAAACACAAAACAGATGTTATAAAGAATAATAAAAGATAGAAGAAAGTTAAAATGTCCATAGCCAGTTTCCCGGGTTGCTCGGCTGGTTATGAGCACTTCTACACTCTGCAAAACACGTACAAGCTGCTTAAAAACGATAACAACTTTGAGTAAAACACCATATTAAAAACACATTGCTTGTAACAGACCTGGTCTCGTGATTTGAATGTCTGAAGAGTTTCCCTCCATGATGGAAAAACGTATCTAATCCAAACTGAACTGAGACACTTCCATAGGCTCATTGAAAAGACCATAAAACCACCTTAAACCCGCGAGTCCTACTTTGAGGGAGATAACGGTGCGCGTGTAGCAAAGAGAAAGGTTTTCTGAAACTGCCAATAAACTGCCAATAACTTACATTCTACCGGTCACCGGTCATGTGATCACGTCACGTGACAATGACGTCACATTCCCACACATATATAAAGAAGCAACCATCTTTATCTAAGGAAACTAATTTGGGGACCTCGCTGGTCACAACCTAGACATTGTAAGCTTTATTTCCAATGTGTTTTCATGAAGACAAGTAGTGTGTATATGTTCACATGGTAAGACGACAGAAATAACAACAGTACAATTGTTTTGTCCACTTGTGCATTGTAGAACGACGATTCCTGTCGAACACGCTACTACGTGTTTGATCCTATTTCAAGAACTGTACCGGGTAGTAAGGTGAAAGGGGGAGTTCAACAACACATGTGTCAGAGTGGAGCAGGCGACAACAAACAAAGAGGAGATATGGTTTCTTTATGAACCACGTGTGGTAGTCTGTGAGGTAGAAGGAAAGAAAAAAAAAAGCCGGTACAGTACCTCAGGCTAGGTACAATTGAGGGAGTCGTCCAGTCTTCGAAAACTAGTCCTTAACTGTGTTAGGAGAAGGAGACACGACACCTATCTGTGGTCAACGGAGGGGACCCTGTGTGTCAATCTCGAGTACGTAGTCGGGTCCAGGAGAGACACAACTTCATGAACATCGTCGCCAGGCAACTTCCTCTTGGTCTCCTCCTGCCACAGGAACCAACATCGAGGGTAAACCTCCCAGTAAGACTTCTTCTGTGGTCGTGGGTCTCGGTCCGTTGTCCTTCTCCTTTTGGTCGTACTACTACATAGACAGTACAATTTTCAACGTGACCTTGCAACCTTTCCCCCCCTAACCGTTAACACCTTCGA